GTTTGTCTAGTATTTTAATTTAAGTAATCTTAATGTAAAGGCGAGAATATATTCTTTCAAATAAAACCAAATTCGTCAGAAATTCCGATTCCGAATCAGAAATATGTTGAGTAATATCAAATACAGAACCAATTTATTGATTAGTCCATAACACTGGAGCGTATGAGTGTTGATGTTAGTTATACGCCACCAATTATCAGGTAAATTAAAGATGTGCTCAATTTTTCGATCATTTTCTCAGGGATATAGAAACGAGAATTTTTATAGCAAACCATGTTTGGGGTTTTGAAGGGGTTTTCAAAGGCCAAATATGCTATGAATTTCCTTAAGAATATTTTTTCAAGCAGCCACTATGCCTTAGATTTTTAAAATTTTTTTGTCAAGAATATTTTAAGGCAACAACAAAAAAGTGTCATTTTTTAAAAATTGTTTCAAGCTGGAAAAATGTCTAGATTTTTGAAATCTTTTTATAGGCTACCATGGATATTAAAAGGATTTTTTTCAAAACACAACCAGACGAGGATTTTCTAAAGAGTTTTTTTTTTTTTTTTTTTTGTTTTGAAGTCATAACAAGGCGAGGATTTTTTAAAGAATGATTTTAAGCTATTCAATGTCGTGCATATTTTATATAATATTTTTTTAAGCAGCAGTCATGTCGTCGAATTTTAAATTGGGTGCAATTTCCCATTTTCTGTCTTAGTTCCCAGACAAACCAATTATTCTATTTGTTCTCCTTCCCCTTCATTTTCTTTTCCCTTCCACAATTCCCCCTTTTGTTTCAACAACCAAACCAAAATTTCTTAAGAAGCTTTTAATAAATCGTAGAAAATTGTATTGCCTTTGAGGCATTCTCAACATGGCAGGCCATTTGTATTCTAAAGTATTTCATTATTTAGCCTGAAGGCAACAACAGAGAATGTACACCCAAACAAACCAACACACACACCCAGTAGTTACCCAGCAATCACAGAGACCCTTAGCAGCAAAATGGCATTTTGGCAAATTGTTATACCCTACAAAAATAAAAACCAACAACAGCAGCAGCAGCAACCAAATCATTGATCCTGGCAATTTGCTTTTTTGTTCAAACCATTTGCTTTTGGTCTGATTGTTTACCATAAAATTGTAACAAATGCAAATCGATAAGTCTACCCCGAGTTTGGGGACAGACAGTCAGGCCAGAAAGGACCAATTCAACGGTATGTTTGTAGATTTTTACATAGAGAACATAATCTGATGGGGGGATGAGCAAGATTGTAAGTGATTTTGGCCCGGATGCAAATGCAGATGAATCCGCAAGCAATTTATTATTGGTTGTATTTGTTTTTTGTTTTATTCTCTAAGAAATATCTATCCAAGGACATTTGTAGAAGTTAAATGGCTTAAAGTTCTGTGCAGTTTTATATAAATAGCCTTTTGCTGAAGGTGTACGATAGCAAAAAAATGTTTGCCAGTAAAACCGAATGAAATATAGAAAGACCATAATTTTTCATTCGAGTAAAATTGAGACATTTATTTTCCTAATCAATTGGCACTTAAGTATATATAGATTTTACTTTTTCTTAAGAATATAAAAAAAATAAAATATATTGAAGGATTGTTAGAACAGGTGATATCGGAAAAAAAATGTAATTTTGCAAGATGCCAATAATTTCTTTACAATTTAAAGACTATTACATTTATAATTATATAGGTATGCGGAGCGTATGACTATTGACATTACTTATACGCAACCATGTCCTTTGGATATATTTTTGAAATAAGTTCTTTGAAAATTCTAGTTTTTTGAAATATATATAATGGGATTTTCTTCTTGCTTTCTGTTGACCGTATGTCTGTAAGTTTCTTAAATATATCTAAGTAAAAAAAAAACAATCAATCAATATCCTAATTTTTATACCCTCCGCCATAGTATGGAGGGTATATTAATTTTGTCATTCCGTTTGTAACATATCGAAATATTCATTTCCGACCATATAAAGTATATATATATTATTGATCAGGGTAAAATTCTAAGACGATCTAGCTATGTTCGTCCGTATGTCCGTCCGTCTGTTGTAATCTTCTGAAATAATTGAGATAGGGTGCTGAAATTTTGCATAAATTTGTCTTTTGTCTGCAGGCAGGTCAAGTTCAAAGATGCGATATATCGGTCCACGTTTAGGCATAGCTTCCATAAAACAGTACCGCCCAATTTTCGGTACTTTTGGGGTTCTTGAGCGCTTTTTTCAACCGAATACGCTGAAATTTGGTACATTGAGTTCTTATTGGGTACTAAATGTCTCCACAAAAAATATAAATATAGGTCCACTTTTTCTGGTAGCCCCCATATAACGGTACCCTCTAATTTGCAGTATTTTGGGGGTTTTGATCATATTTTCCCACCCAATTGGCAGTAATTTAGTATTTTGACTTCCACCAAAAATTATGAATATATGTCCATTTTTTCGGATAGCCCCCATGTAAGGGTACCCCCAAATTTTCGGTATTTTGGGGTCCGTTCAAGGACCCCAAAATACCGAATTCTCCGAAATTTGGTACATTAGGTACTTATTTGGTCCCAAATATATAAACTAAAAATTATAAATATCGGACCACTTTTTCTCGTAGCCCCATATAACGGTACCTCCCAATTTTAAGTATTTTGGGTGTTTTGATCGCATTTTTTCCATCGAATTGGCTGTAATTTAGTACTTTGAGTTCTTATTGGGTAGCAAATCTCTCCACTAAAAATTATTGTCCCCATATAACCCCCTTATTATATTAAAATAGTTATCCGATTTGTTCCGCGTTTTGGGTTTGGTTCTAAGACTCTTTGGTAATCACTTCTCCTGCGGAGGATATCGAGATAAAAAAACTAGAACGTAAGGTTCGATAATGAAGTATATATGAACTATAACCCGCATTTAGGCCTAGCCCCTGTGTGGGAGGTACCAGAAGAAGTGGACCGATATTCCCCATCTTCGAACATGAACTAAGTTTGGAAGAAATAATAAGATGAGCAAAGATAGGATAAAATCTTAATTTTCTGAAACGGATTTGGTCCAAAGAAACATGAGGTCTAGAACCAATATTTCGATGAGGCACATTTTCAATTTAACACCCTCATTAGCCATGAGGCTGAGGGTATAATTATCCATTAAAAATTTCTGGAATTTGTATTATGGTTTACATAATCCCTTTTTAGGAATGTCGGTATAGGTCCACTTTTTGGTATGTTCCCTATATTTTCATTTCTAGTACCTATCAGTATATCTATGGTAGAGGGTATCCAAAATTCGGCCCGGCCGGACTTTACATATTACCAACCACATGACAAATTAATAAGTTAGTTCAAAACACTATAACGTTTGAGTGTTGAAATTAATTATACGCCACATATTAAAAGCTTTCTTCGCGTGAATATTGTTATGAAAACCTATTTTGGTCAAGGATTAATAAAACATGATTTTTATTGAGTATATTTTTCAAATGGAAAAAAGAATCGTGAAATTTATAATGAATGTTGGAAGGAGCTATTCTGAAAAAAATCCGATTGAAAACTATGCTGATGAGGATGTCAATATCAAATACATGACAACTTCTTTGACTAGAAAAGAACACTAGAGCGTATGAGTGCTGACATTAGTTATACGTCACCTATTATTTATCAGTTTCCAGTTTTTGGAAAAAATCCGATTAGAAACTATGTCGACGATGTGAGGATTAACAATTATCAAATGGTAATAAGAAGCGCGAAATTTTCAAAAATGTAGAAAGGAGCTATTCAAGTGTGGATCTTCTGAAAAAAATTCCGATTGGAAACTCTGCTGACGAGGATGTCAATATCAAATACATGGACAAATTCATAGATTAGTACAGAACACTGGAGCGTATGAGTGTTGACATTAGTTATACGTCACCTATTATTTATTAGTTTTTTTTTTAATTCTTATTACGAATGTTTTTCTCTTGTCAAGGAGCGTACTGGAGCGTATGAGTATTGGTTGGTGGAGCGTATGAGTATTGACAGTGATTATACGCCACCTATTATCAGTTTTCTTCGTCTGGACATTTTTAAGAATATATTCCAATCATTTATATGGTGCGAATAACATTTTTTTTAAGAAGTAATATCAATCGTGGTGTTTGTCGGCAAAATTGTGAAAGAAAAAATTAAAGAATTGTTTCTTCAGGCATCATATTCCGATTTAAGTATCAGAAGATGAATTGCCTGTTGTCAAGAATTACATGTTACTGACTGTACAATATTTTCCAGGGACGATTATGGACTGAAGGCTCAGGTCTAACGAGTATATAACCTACAGGACTAATCTTATGTAGGATTAACAAGGAAATGCACAAAAACAACTGTAAAGAAATCAAGCATATTTTTATTGAACAATACCCTGTTGTCTGGGTATTATAGCTTTGTACAGCCCCAAGAATTTGTAACGCCGCGATATATTGGTCCTAGACCCACCTTAAAGTATACCGATCGTCATATATCGACTAGCTGATTCGATCTAGACATGTATGTCCGTCCGTCCATCGGTCTATTATAATTTGTAAACACGATACATACCACAGTTATGGACCAATCTTCACGAAATTTTGCATGTAGAATGGGTTCTGGCCAATGAAGACCCGCCTATAATTTTGAATGATGATCAGATAATAATTTTGGGATGAATTGGCTATACTGATCCGCTCACTTGTTTTATTTTTTGTTTAAACTATTTTTTGGAGTATATAAAGGCTTAGATTTACTTAAAATATATTTTAAGGAGCCTATTCAGGCGCAGATTTTTACTCAGGCGTAACTTAAAAATATTAAGAGAAAGCTGTTGAGACAAATATTTTTCGGAGAAAAATTCTGCCCTTTATTTGATATCGTTTATAATGACATATGGCTTATATATTCGATTTCAAAATGTTTTTTTTTTTATTTTCTTCAATTAAAATTGTCCAATTTTTTTCAATTCCCTTTTCTTTTGTTTCCGAAAAATATCTCCACCTACCTGATAATCCATAAAATGATCAAAATTCATGTACGAACAATTGTTGAACGTATCCAAATTATGGATGGGGCCACCACCAGACTCATTGGCCGCTGCCGTTGCTGCTGCTGTTGCGGCATCCAACATTTGCAGCTCCTCCGGTGAAGGTGGTGGTAAATCGACACCTTTAAAGGAGACACGTTTAGGGGTCTGTGTCACCTGATCTGTGGTATTTCCCGCCGCCGACGATTGGGATCGACGATTACGACCCAATGTTCCCGACATAAAATTACGACCACCCGTATGCATGGCATCCCCGGCTGCCGAGGCAAAGGTACCCATCATATGCGAGAGTGATGCACAACCGATGACTTGGGGTTCAGCGGCAGCATTATTGGCTGCGGATTGGATCGTTGCATTAAGATTTTGTGTCGGCTGTAGAATGACACCGCAACCTCCAAAGCGGAAGTGGGGGATGCAGGTGGTAGTTGAGACACTGGCTCCACATTCACTGCCCTCAAAATCACTTTCATCTTGTTGATTGTTGCTCGAGTTGAATTGTTGTAGGGTCTTTGTGGAGAGAATGTTGGGTTGAAAGTTACGCGGCAAGGTGGCACATTCTATGGTGTGATGTTGCTGGTGTTGTTGTTGCTGGGCATGATTGTTGCCGGTTGCCGCGTCTGTAAAGAAGTTGTGTTTCATGGCAGGTTTTAGGGTACCTGTATACAAAATATTCAACATTTGTTGTTGTTGCTGCTGCTGTGGAATCTGTTGTTGTGGATGCTGTTCGGGGAGACAGTTGTTGACATTGCCGCCCGCTGCTGAGACTGAGGCAGAGGCAGCAGCCGCTGCTGCCGGCTGCAATAACAATGCTGTGGTGGGTGTTGAGCCCAGCGTAAATTCTGTATTTGATGGCGTCGCCGTGGCCAAAATGTGTGTAGGCTGCAGCTGATAGAAATGGGTATGAGATGGCGGCATTGTTGTCTGGTCGTTAGAATCTGCCGCGGAGGCCGTGGTGGCCGCCAAATGGGTACCAGCTGGCATCATTGCCGTGGGTATGACCATAATCGGCAGCATTGTTGCGGTGTTGGCGTTGGCATTGCCAGCTGCATTTGAAACGGGTGTTAGACTCAACGAGGTCTGTTGGGTGGGGTTGACAACCATTCCGCCGCCGCCGACACCTCCGCCGCCACCAACACATGTCGTACCGGCATGCATCAATTCCATTTGGCACATTTCCTCGTAGGTCAAGGGACGTAGATCCATGGCGATTTTGTTTTCGTTTTTTTTTCTTTTTTGGAATAGAAAAAACTTCGAACCGGCTTTTTAGTCACGCACGCACACTTGTACACAAAAACTGACACACCTTTTGTTGAATACAAAAATTTTTCTAATTTTTCCGATTTTTCGATTTTTTTTCTCTTCTGTTTTGATTTTCTTTTTTCTTAAATTCCCACACTTTTTCTTTAACTCTCCTCCATCGTGAGTGGGATTTTTTTCTTAATTTTCCCTCAATGAAAAAAAAATCGGTTTTAAAAAATTCAGGCCTCCGTTCGGAATATTTCGTTACAACTTGAGTTCTCAACGGCCACAAAACAACTGTCGCAGCCAAGCTGAAAATCTCCGCTGATTACCTTAAATTAGAGATGCTGCCTCGCTCTCTCTCTCTCGTTCGCTTGCTTGCTCTTAGCTTCCACACACAGGCAGATTGGCATCTAGGACCTCGTTGCTGCTCTATGCAGAATGGAGTTTGCGTATTACAGCCTCACCAGTGACTACTGAAATGGTGTAGGCGAAGCATTTTCAAAACAAAACAAACCGACAGGACAACAAGAGCCCTCAATGGAGTAACTAAACAACAATTTTTTGTTTGGAGGCTACTTAGTATCTGCTAAGACCAAAGGATGATATTTAAGGATAATTTGTTCTCACAAATAAAATATATTTGTATTGTCCTGGAAATTTCACTCCCTACCCCCATAGCTCCGGAATCCATCTAAAAAAATCATTTCTAGGAAATTAAAAATAGGAATTCTACACAATTATCTTCTTCTTGGAAAAATTTAATAAAAAAATCGAGGCCTTCCTTGCTTCCTTTTCCTTGCTGTAAAGGAAAATTGTGTCTCAGGAAAAAATTGAGTTTCCTTTTAGTATCAAGACTTCGTCCTTTTTTCTTTGTCAATAATTTATGTGTAGCAGACATTCAGTCTGGTATGTTTATTTATGACCCACCACCACCAGCAGCATTGGGTCGGATGGTTTCGGAAGGTTGGTAGGGGAATATTGTCGGAACAATTTGCCTTGAACAACAACCAACAGTTGGTTGTGGATTTTTTTTTGTGCTTCGATTTTTTTTTCTCTGAGGATACATATCTTAAGTTTTGTACAGACATACCGATACACACACACACATACAAATTGTAAGATATAAATAAATAATAACTACTGGAGAAATGAGCAGAATTCAATAAAAGTCAAATAAACCGATTCGAGTGGCATTTCAGGACAATTCAAAAACAATCCTTAAATAATTTGGGTGGGTTGGTCCGATACAAGGCGTGAATTTTTTAAATAATACTTTGAGGGTCCTATACAAGGCGTGGATTTTTAAAAATATATTTTTGAGGGTCCTATAGAAGGCGTGGATTTTTAAAAATATATTTTTGAGGGTCCTATAGAAGGCGTGGATTTTTAAAAATATATTTTTGAGGGTCCTATACAAGGCGTGGATTTTTAAAAATATATTTTTGAGGGTCCTATAGAAGGCGTGGATTTATTAAATAATATTTTTGAGGGTCCTATAGAAGGCGTGGATTTATTAAATAATATTTTTGAGGTCCTATAGAAGGCGTGGGTTTTTAAAGAATATTTTTTCAAAGGCCTATAGAAGGCGTGGGTTTTTTAAATAATATTTTTTCAAAGGCCTATAGAAGGCGTGGGTTTTTAAAAACTATTTTTGAGGTCCTATAGAAGGCGTGGATTTTTTAAATAATACTTTGAGGGTCCTATACAAGGCGTGGATTTTTTAAATAATACTTTGAGGGTCCTATACAAGGCGTGGATTTTTTAAATAATACTTTGAGGGTCCTATACAAGGCGTGGATTTTTTAAATAATACTTTGAGGGTCCTATACAAGGCGTGGATTTTTTAAATAATACTTTGAGGGTCCTATACAAGGCGTGGATTTTTTTAAACAATTTTTTGAGGGTCCTATACAAGGCGTGGATTTTTTAAATAATATAGGGACAAATAAAATGCACTAAAGATTTACTAATGAAAAACAAAGGTTTTTGACAGAAAATCGCTATTCAGCTACGTTTTTCTATATAGAAACTAAATTCAGCAATGTTTTTTATGAAGTACAAATGTATTCAGCAATCTCTTTCAGGAGGCGTGGATTTTTAAAAATATATTTTTGAGGGTCCTATACAAGGCGTGTATTTATTAAATAATATGTTTGAGGGTCCTATACAAGGCGTGGATTTTTTAAATAATACTTTGAGGGTCCTATACAAGGCGTGGATTTTTATAAATATATTTTTGAGGGTTCTATACAAGGCGTGGATTTTTATAAATATATTTTTGAGGGTCCTATAGAAGGCGTGGATTTTTAAAAATATATTTTTGAGGGTCCTATAGAAGGCGTGGATTTTTAAAAATATATTTTTGAGGGTCCTATAGAAGGCGTGGATTTTTAAAAATATATTTTGAGGGTCCTATAGAAGGCGTGGATTTTTAAAAATATATTTTTGAGGGTCCTATAGAAGGCGTGGATTTTTAAAAATATATTTTTGAGGGTCCTATAGAAGGCGTGGATTTTTAAAAATATATTTTTGAGGGTCCTATAGAAGGCGTGGATTTTTAAAAATATATTTTTGAGGGTCCTAGAAAAGGCGTGGATTTTTCTAAACGATTTTTTTGAGGGTCCTATAGAAGGCTTGGATTTTTCTAAACGATTTTTTTGTCTACAGGCAGGTCAAGTTCGAAGATATATCGGTCCACGTTTAGGCATAGCTCCCATATAAAGATAACCCCTTTTCAGTATTTTGAGGTTCTTTGAGGCGTTTTTCAACCGAATTCGCTGAAATTTGGTACAATAAGTTCCTATTGGATACCTAATGTCTTCACAAAAAATTATAAATATCGGTACACTTTTTCTGGTAGCCCATATATAACGGTACCCCCAATTTTCAGTTTTTTGGGGGCTTTTGGTCGTATTTTTCCACCGAATTGGCTGTAATGTAGTACTATGAGTTCTTAATAGGTTCCAAATCTCTCCACAAAAAATTATGAATATAGGTCAATTTTTTCGGGTTGGCCCCTGTAAGGGTACCCCCCCAATTTTCAGTATTTTGAGGTTCTTGAGTGCATTTTTCAACCGAATTCGCTGGAATTTGGTACTTTGAGTTATTATTGGGTAACAAATCTCTCCACTACATATCCTTCGATTTCCACGAAATTTGGCATACGGTACTAAATTAGGTCGAGAATGATGTGTGCTATGTTTCGTGAAAATCGATTCAGATTTAGATATTGCTCCCATATATATTTCCCTATATATACTTCGATTTACACGAAATTTGGCATAGCGTACTGAATTAAGCCTAGAACGACGTGTGTTAAATTTCCTGAAAATCGGTTCAGATTTAGATATAGCTTCCATATATATTTTCGTCCGATTTTATGTAAATGGTGCACCAAAGTCCTTATATATAATTCGATTTGCACGAAATGCGGCATAGCATACTGAATTAAGACTAGAATGATATGTGGCAAGTTTCGTGAAAATCGATTCAGATTTAGATATAGCTCCCATATATATTTTGGACCTTGAATTTATAGGCCTACCTAAATGTCAGTTCACTCCACTTTATTTTTTTAAAAAAAGAGTTATGTGTGTGTATGTCTATGAATATATTTTTCTGGTTCCCTTTATTCATACCTACATAACTCAATTACAAAATGTTATCAATTCTCGGGACACCACTTAAATTGTCTGGCAGCATCATCAGCATCACAATGACTATCAGTGAGACCAGCTCGCGTTCACAGTATGCCCCAGACAGGCATTTATTTA